GGAGTACATGAAACACATAGGCTATTACTTGCACTCGGTAACCAGGGCCGTGCCGGAGTCTGTCCATATCAACGATGTGACCATCACCTTTACCACGGCGTATGGAGCAAGGGCGATCATGGTGACTGAAAATACGAAAACGACCGAGGTGAACACCGCATTGAAAAGGATTCCTACCGATTCATCCCAGGGACAGCAGCCGCCGACGAAGAAACAAAAAGTCTACACAGTAAACATCGTCATGCAGGCAACATCTTTTGACGGGCTAGAACTTATAACAAAATGTATTGATGCTCGATGTGAATAACTGCAAAACGTTTGCAAAACTTGTAAACGATTGCGCCCTGTTTCTTGTAACGGAGATAGAAGGCTCCCAAAAAAAACTTAGACGAGGACATCGTGAAACAGACGCTCTTCGCAAACTATCAGGAAATCAAGCAAAATGTACGTCGGCAATTAAAAGATTTAACGTTTCTAGATACTTATTTCCACATTATTTCAAGAAATTACTTCGATTTATTTAAATAAAATTGTACGAGCAATTTTAATAAATGTCTCATCTTAATCATGAAAAATAAAATGTGAATTAATTCTATGAAAAATATTGTGCATTCCTTTCTCTTCACCTCTTCTCACTTCCCTGTGATTTCCAGTTCGAAGTAACAAATCCCGTTGTAAACTTTTCGAGTTCGAAAGCGAGGGGACTCGTACAGATAAAAATATATAAACATAGACTAGAAGTATCGTCTTCCAACAATCGCTGGGTAGTTTTTGTCTTCAAAATGATCCCTACCTGCTCGAACATGCTCGCACAAGCTCACGACAGTCGAGAGCCGGGGTCTCATGGTGAAGATCCGTGTCCTTTAGGTTCTAGAATTTGCCAAATTTTTCACGCGTGACGTCAATACTCTTCGTATGTATACAATATAGCTAGTTTCCATCAGGGTATAGCAGTAGGTAGTGCATAAGACGCTTGACTCGAAAGCCAGCGGACCTAGGTTCGAATCTGGCCAAGGCCTACAGGATTTTTCCAGAGACTTCGCACTAACCACACACACACACATACACACACACATACACACACACCTCCGTTCTACGTGTACACCGTGAAACCAATTTCTACTAAAGAGTAGCAGTAGAGCAGTGGTAAGACGTTTGACTCAAGAGCCTGAGGTCCTGGGTTCGAGCCTCGCAGAGTGTCTAGGAGATTTTTCCAAAAGTAATATGCAAATTAACCAGCTGACCAAGAGCTAGAATCACAACAACGCCTAATATGAATAATAAAAATTTAATATTTAGATTACGCTAATTTTCATTCCGGTGATTCAAATTTCCGTCATTTTCAGCCTTAGGGGTAGGTACGGCCACTTGAAACACTCCCCCTCCACTTGACCCTCCGGCGCCGGTGGGCGTGGTCTAGTGGCGCCGGAAGGTCGAGTGGAGGGGGAATGTTTTGACTGGCCATACTTAACCCTATACTACTCATATGTACACATGGACATGCATATATAGTACCTCGCCGTTAGCCAGTTCATACTTTTTATAATATTTTGGATTTTGCTGCTTGGATCACACAAGGTGTCCCATTTTGAAAAACGCCTTTTAATAATTCTTCAACGAAGCATTTTCAGCAAAAATGTTTCGGACGAAAGTTATATGATTTCAAGCGGGACATAAAACAATTATACCATTTTGTTTATAAATGGCACCACTTTCGAGATATTCACTGATCATTATTTTTCTTAAGGGGGCATATACACCTAGCAGAATTCAAAAAATCAATTTTTCATTTTTTGCATTTTCTTAAAACTTCATACGTAGAAAATATTTTCTTTAAATTTTAAAAGTAGTGTTGGATATTAAACTTAATTTTAAAGGATTTACAAGAGATGGCGCAATGAGCATCTAATAGCATCGGCCCGTACTGAATCCAGCAAACACAGAATATAACTGTAATGTAACATAGGAGTAACATGTAATATAACATATGTTATACTCTAGTTATATTGGGGTTATATAATTTGGTTTCATAGTTTCGTAGTTGTAATATAATCCTGTTATATATCTGTTACACTGTTTTGTTATAAACTAGAGATAACATTATAATCAAGAGGCACGGTAGTGCCTCACGCCAAGTTCAAGCGCAATAAAGTTGCGCCCGAACGGCGCGAGGCACACCGTGTCTATTATACGCGAAACTGCGAGTTGAAACGAGGTGAGATATTCATATCTCAGCAATGACTCAACCGATCGAGGATTTTTTAGTCCCAATCGATTCAGCCTTAAAAAATAGGAAACAAAATGTTCTTGTGATTTTTGTGTACATTGTCTCTAAGTGGAAGTATTTTAAGATAAAGTCCGAATCACGGAAAATTTCGATTCAGTAAGAAAGTAAGAAACTTCGGAATGTAGCTCCACTCCACAGGAGTGGAGATATGTGTGCATTTCGCTTTTCCGACACCAGGAGCGCTACGAGAGTGCTGAACAAGCAGACAGTAGCGAATGCGAGCGTGTGAGTGTAAATGAGAGATATGCTAGAATACAGTATAGGACCAAATGTGCAAATAACAAACAAAAAAATGTTTCACTTGAACAGTAGGAAAAATTATTTTCTTTCCACTTGATTCCCACCCATACGTTGATGGACCAACAATATTGAAATCCGCCTTCACGGACGACGTGCGGATTGTCATCGGACCAATATAAATTATTGCGACAATTAAGTACACCGTTTGGTGTAAATGTTGCTTCGTCGGTCCATAAAATAATATCCGGAAACGTGTCATTCTGCCGACATTGCGCGAGGAACCCTGATTATGTTTTTCAATGATTATTATATTCTCAAATTACCGTGAATATGAAAAGTTAATGACAATACCTTCGCAAAAGTATATCCGTTGTTCCAAATCCCACGGTAACAGCTGTTGCACCCGCTGGTAATGGTACGGATGCAACTGATCTTCATGTAAAGTGCGATGTACGTTGTATTGCGATAAATTTAGTTCGCGCGCCGCACGACGCACGCTGTTTCCGGGGTTTTCATAGAAGGCGTCGAGAATCCTTTCCTCGTCTTGAAGACGACGACGCACTGACATATGTGGCGAATTATGCACTAAACACTCCGTTTCACATAATCTTTGCACAACACGGAAAATTGATCTGTCGGATAATGTGCACGCCCGGGAAATTGCTCCGCGTATATTCGAGCCGCGATGCGCGCATTTCGATCTGCTAGCCCGTAGGCCACTATCATATCCGTGTATTCTTGTGAAGTATCGCAAATATCTCATTGTCGGTTTGTCACTATGTGAGAACTATACGTGACTGCACAAAAAGACCTCGTGTTCACGAATCTCGGCAGAAACAATTGACGTTCGAAATATTCAAAGTCAATTGTTTCTGCCACCTTTTTCGAAATACGCTTGTCGCAGCTCGAATATACATGGTGAGGCTTCTAACTCTAGTAATTTCCCGGACGTGCACATTATCCAAGATATCAAACAATTTTCCGTGTTGTGCAAAGATTGCGTGAAACGAGGTGTCTAGTGCATAATGCGCCAGATATGCCAGTGCGTCGTCGTCTTCAAGACGAGGAAAGGATTCTCGACGCCTTCTACGAAAACCCCGGAAACAGCATGCGTCGTGCGGCGCGCGAACTTAATTTATCGCAATACAACGTGCATCGCACTTTATATGAAGATCAGTTGCATCCGTACCATTACCAGCGGGTGCAACAGCTGTTACCGCGGGATTTGGAACAACGGATATACTTTTGAAAGTATTGTCATTAACTTTTCATATTCACGGCAATTTGAGAATATAATAATTATTGAAAAACATAATCAGGGTTCCTTGCGCAATGTCGGCAGAATGACACGTTTCCGGATATTATTTTGTGGACCGACGAAGCAACATTTACACCAAACGGCGTACTTAATTGTCGCAATAATTTATATTGGTCCGATGAAAATCCGCACGTCGTCTGTGAAGGCGGATTTCAATATCGTTGGTTCATCAACGTATGGGCGGGAATAATTGGGAATCAAGTGGTAAGTGGAAAGAAAATAATTTTTCCTACTGTTCAAGTGAAACTTTTTTGTTTGTTATTTCCAGATCGGTCCACATTTCCTCCCGCCGCGTTTAACTGGCAGAATTTATAAACAATTCTTAGAGAACGAGTTGTCAGTACATCTCACAAATGTGCCATTAAACATACGAGCACTGTTGATTTATCAACATGACGGAGCACCGGCTCATTTTTGTCGCGAAGTACGGGAGGTACTAAACGCGCAATTTCCGGACAGGTGGATGGGTCGTGGTAGTCCAATCATCTGGCCGGCACGGTCGTCAGATTTAAATGTATTAGACTTTTTTATATGGGGTCATATAAAAAGTTTAATCGAGCACCAGCGTCATGGTACAGAAAACGAAGTACGTGAAGCTATTATTGCGGCCTTCGATACCATTACGCCGGACATGGTACACCGTGCGACGCGCAATATTGTACGAAGGGCCGAACTCTGCATACGAGAGAGAGGATGGCACTTCAAACAATTCTTACATTAGATTGTGAGAGTGGATTAGGCCTACCGGGGAAACCACTATAAAAAAACGCACCAAGCTATCTACCGCAAGGTGGTGTGGAAATGATAGCACATCACTTTCCTATCGCCTCTGAAAAGACGGAACGGCGCGATGACATATTTTTTTCTTATAGCTCGCCGCGCGCGCTCGCTCGCTCCTCGTCGTTCGCGCTCGCTCGCTCCTCGTCGTGCGCGATCGCCTCTTGTCGCTTACGTAGCCCCTCGCCGTGCGCGCTTGCCTACCGCCATTCACTGACTCCGCCTGTATCAAATTTCTTCGTGCTTACTGCGGCCGCCCTCCGCTCTTTACGCGCTCGTTGGCTCACATGTTTTAATTAATAACTCGGTAAATATTGCCAATTTGACATTACGGTACATGACTTTTCTTCTCGGCTACACCCAATCTATCTTCAACTTTCGTCTGCATGATCAGCTATCAAACACCCTGTATATGTACATACGTACATAATCATTTTTTAGGTATTGTCCGCGTTCACGTCTACGTGTACGACAATATTTGCGAATCGCTTAGCTTTTCCCAGCATTTGTGCCCCTTGGTATATATGTTTACATATTCGTAATAACATATATATACACGTATATTATTATGTTGTGTCGCCCGTCATTTGATTGCCGGTCAGCTGATGCTGAGCAGATGATATGATGAGTCGTACCATCAAAAAATCAATACCGGTGCTTAGCGACTCGTCGTCCCAGGAGATCGCTTTTCAATTTTATTTTCTGATAGTTTTCCGATAGCATAGCAGCCTTCGTGACAAAAATAGTGTCCACGTATTGCGAGGAAAGAAGAGGATTTAATAAGTAAGTATTTATTTTATTTACACATTACGTTACACACATATACATATATACATACGTCACATATACATATTTACATTATATACATACATATACATATATGCATTACATGCATATACAGCGCTGTATTTTATATTAATAATGTATGCATGTGATGACATATATAATTGAAATATGTATGTGATATGTATGTATGCAATATATATTATGTATGTCATATGTATTCCAGAAACGATAGATAATATTAATGTGGACCACCAAATGCAAAATCTGGAGGAAGACTTGCGAAATATAGCCAAAAACCACGATCTAAACAAATTAAAAGCGGAAAATAACGAGTTGAAGGAAAAATTGGAAAAAATAGAAAAGCAAATAGAAAAATTAATGGAAAAGAAAGAAGAAGATGGCTCCGGTAAGTATATTTAATTTTATACATAATTAATTTTTTTAATATACGTATGCATGTACGCATGTATGTATGTACGCATATATTATATACAGGGTGCACGATTTATCTGAAGACATTGAAATATCTCGAGAACTATGCATTGGATAAAAAAAAATGGTTAATGAAAGTTGTTAGTCTCGAAGGGGGACATCCAATGATACCAAACTCGACCTCCCATCCTACCCCCTGGGGGTGGGGGTTGGGGGCAACTTTGAAATCTTAAATGGAAACCCCCATTCTTTATTGCAGATACGGATTCTACGCCACAAAATACGTAAATTTGGTCCGAAACTTTTTTTTTTATTCATGATAGATAGCGCTGTAATCGCAAAAAATTATATTTTCCGCAATTCTCCAGAAATGATCATTGGATTGAAAAATAAAAAATACCTGTTCAATATTTTTAAATCAACAAGTGCCAACAACTCGTGAAAACATGGTAGAACGCATAAGAAACGCTTGCGCTGAAACTCCCGCAGATATGCTTCTATCCTGTGTACAGTCATTTGAAAAAAGGATCAATAAGTGTATTGAAGTTGAAGGTAAAAATTTCGAACACTTACTCTAATTAATTGAACAGTGAGAGGCAAGGGGACTCACATTAAAAAAGCACCCTGATCTGTGAGAGGCAAGGGGACTCACATTAAAAAAGCACCCAAAGAGAACATAAAACTACTACGTCCTCGTCGTTGTTCCTGTGTAACGCTAAAAGTAGTTTCTCGAAAAAATTCAACGCTATTTATCACGAATGAAAAAAATTGTTTCAATAAAAATTTCACGTACAATCTAATTCTGCAATGAAAAATGTGGGTCCCCATTTGAGATTTGAACGTTATCACCCATCCTACCCCGAGAGGATGGGGGGGAATAACTTTTATTATGTTCTTTAAAAATATTGAACAGGTATTTTTTATTTCTCAATCCAATGATCATTTCTGGAGAATTGCGGAAAATATAATTTTTTGCGATTACAGCGCCATCTATCACGAATAAAAAAAATGTTTCGGACAAAATTTACGTATTTTGTGGCGTAGAATCCGTATCTACAATAAAAAATGGGGGTTTCCATTTAAGATTTCAAAGTTGCCCCCAACCCCCACCCCCAGGGGGTGGGGTGGGAGGTCGAGTTTGGTATCATTGGATGTCCCCCTTGGAGACTAACAACTTTCATTAACCACTTTTTTTATCCAATGCATAGTTCTTGAGTTATTTCAATATCTTCAGATAAATCGTGCACCCTGTATATACGTCTGTATATAAATATTATTATATACATATTTTATTATATTACAGAAGGAAAAGCCCGGCCCAGGGGCACTAATGCTGGGAGGAACCGGGCATCATGGAATAATTATGATAGGCGAGAACGTAATCGCGGGAAAATTATAAAAAATTATTTTAATATATCATGAATCAAATTTAATAAATAATTATTAAAAAAAAGGTGTAGCATATTATTTATTAAAAAATTAACATATGAAGAGATCACTCCTCTCTCACTCCTTTCTCACTCCTCTCTTACTCTTCTTTCACTCTCTCATTTGCTCACTCTCTCTTGCACCTCTCTCACTCCTCTCTTTCAGTCTTCTCTCTCTCTCTCTCTCTCTCTCTCTCTCTCTCTTTCTTTCTCTAATATACAGAATTTGTCAAAAGTGTGGAAATCCTTAAATAATTTTTGTAAAAATAAAAATATCAAAAAACTGTAAAACACGTATTTTGAATTTTCAAAAAAGCTACCCTATGACATGGATACTGATCATTCCTCACCCCCTGGTACGCGGGAGTAAAAAGGGGGTTGAAAATTTTAAATTGGACTAAGGGTCGAGTGGAGGTTCATTTGAAAGGTCTTTTCATAACAAACACACCCTTAAAATTCTAAGTCGCTACGATCCCCCATTAAAAATGACGGCCGTTCAAATTTCGAAATTTCATGCACTTAGTGTTATCCAGGAGCAACTGCGTGGAAATGGCATTAATCTGATCCCTTGTGTGCGTGTGCGCGTGTGCGCGTGTACGCGGGTGTGCGCATGTGCGCGTGTGCGTGCGTGCGTGCGTGTGTGCGCGTGTGTGCGTGTGTGCGTGGGCGCGTGTGAGCGTGTGTGCGCGCGCGTGTGTACATGTGTGTGTGTGTGTGTGTGTGTGTGTGTGTGTGTGCGTGCGTGCGTGCGTGCGTATGTGTGTGCGTGCATGTGGTTAAACAAGTGTGAATGTGTTATATGTCGTGATAGGTTGCAAAACAGATGATTGAAAACTGTCATCTCTTTTTAATTATTCAAAACCTTTTACTCCGTGTTTTAAAATAAATTTTACTCAGTGTGTTAAAGTAAATGCTGAAAGTGGCTGCCATTTACTTCCTGACAATATGCCAATCTTTGATAGAATGCAGAAATGGCTCTACGATTCGTCTCAAAAGGTATCAAATCTATTTCATCCCTTATTAGCTGTATCAATTCTTGGATGCTTTCAGGTTTTGTTTTGTAAACCTTACTCTTCCGGTGTCCCCATAAATAATAATCAAGAGGAGTTAGATCTGGTGACCGAGGTGGCCAATCCTCTCCTCCCTCATTTCTGTTCCTTCTTCCTATCCATCGTAATGGAAAAGTCTCATTTAAAATTTGACGTGGCCCTAAACCAAAATGAGCAGGAGCTGCATCATGCTGAAACCATATTTCTTCGAAATTATTTGGAAAAATATTTCGTATGGCTGGAACTATTTGATCTACAAGTAATCTGTTATACCTTTGAACGTTCAGATTTTCTTAAAAAAAAAAAACGGTCCTATTAAGTAGCTATCTATTATTCCACACCATACATTTATTTTTTGTGGGTATTGTATGTGAGTTTCCCACACCCAATTAGGATTCTCATCTGACCAGGAACGAAAATTTTGATTATTAACTTCTCCCGTTAACGTGAAAGTTGCCTCGTCTATAAAAACAATTTGATAAGGGAACATGGGCCGGACATCTATTAGTGCCATCATTCTTTCACAGAAACCTATGCGATGCTCCACATCTCCGTCTTGCAATTCTTGAACATATTGTAATTTGTATGGATGGAACATGTTTTTCTTTAAAATTCTCCAAACGGACTTGGGAGCAATATCGTAAGTTTGAGCGGCTCTGTCAATAGTAGAATTAGGACCTTCAATAAATGTCTGCAGAACATTAACAAAATTGTTTTTCTTCGTTAATGGCAGGTCTCCCTGATTTAGGGCGATTGTTTACGCAACACGTTTCTCTGAAACGTTCCATTGTTTTTAAGACAGTGGACTTATTAATTCGACGATTCGGATACGTCTCATTAAATAATTGAGCGACAGCAGCGTATGATCGCTCGTTATCACCCCATCCATGCATCATAAGGATAATGATTCTTTCATGTTCCGACAATTCGCCAACCATTTTTAAATCGTTTAATTTTTAATCTGCCTAAGATCTGTGAGAACTGATTTTAAATAGCCGTGAGAACAACTGATTTTAAGTAGCAGTGAGAACAACTGATTTTAAATAGCCGGTTGATCCTGGATAACACTAAGTGCATGAAATTTCGAAATTTGAACGGCCGCCATTTTTAATGGGGGGTCGTAGCGACTTAAAATTTTAAGGGTGTGTTTGTTATGAAAAGACCTTTCAAATGAGCCCCCTCTCGACCCTTAGTCCTATTTAAAATTTTCAACCCCCCTTTTACCCCCGCGTACCAGGGAGTGGGAAATGATCGGCATCCATGTCATAGGGTAGTTTTTCTGAAAACTCAAAATATGTGTTTTACCGTTTTTTGATATTTCCATTTTTACAAAAATTATTTAAGGGTTTCCACACTTTTGACAAACCCTGTATAAAGAGAAAGGATTGAGAGAGAGAGAAGTGAGAGAGAAAGAGAGTGAGAGAGAGAGAGAGAGAGAGAGAGAGAGAGAGAGAGAGAGAGAGAGAGGAATGAGAGAGAGACCATAAAGGTAGGATTTATTGTGCTCTCTCTCTCTCTCTCTCTCTCTCTCTCCCATTTCTATTTATTTATTTATTGTTATATATATATTAATCTATACCTTAACCCATAATAAACATATTAACCTATATATGTATGCACGTATGTACATACATACAGTGGCGTGCAAAAGTTTCGAGCCATAGTGTCTTTTTAAGATACATGACAATATATTGATATGCTCTAAAAATTAATTATATAAAATAATTGACATAACATTCTTACAAATAATAATACTGTTACAAAATTTTGAAATTACATAGTTTCTAATTATTTAGTCATATAATATTTACATGTGTTCAAAAGTATTGAGCCGTATTCTTGTTGTGACTTTATGAGCCCGGTTTGTTTACGTTTCATATGAAACTCCTTCGTAAATATTTGCTTTAACTAAATTTCAGTCTATTATCTATCGCAATGCCGAAACATATAAGCTTTCAGTTACGCGAAGTCGTGATTAATCTTTCTCAACAAGGAAAGGTTTCTCGCGAAATTGCTAATTGCTTATTAATTGATAAAAGTACTGTAAATAGGATTATTGCTAAATATAAATTGATGAACTCTCTAACTGATAAACCACGAAACGGTAGACTTTGTGAAACTACAAAACGCGTCGATAAAATAAATAAAAGAAAGTCGATAGCAGATGTTAGAAAAACTGCCATGGAAATTTCTCGAGAACTACGAGAAGAAAATCTTGCTGATATTAGTCGAAATACAATATCTCGATATCTGAAAGAAGTTTTAGGACGTGCTGATGTAAGAAAAATTATTAATTAGTGCAAAAAATAAGACAGCTCGATTAGATTTTCCAAGGAAATTTGAACATTGGACTGAAGTTGATTGGCAAAAAGTACTTTTCTCTGACGAGTCAAAGTTTCAGTTATTCGGAAGTGACGGTAGAAAGTATATACGACGTCCAACAGGCACAAGATACGAGATATGTAAATATGAAACCGGAATTTTTGTAGAAAATACACGTTTATTGTATGAAAATGATAAAAAATATTTTATTCGAAGTATTGCCCATCGCTAGCATACGAGGGCGGTCCGATAAGCACTTAGCCTCACCGCCCGATGGCGCCATTATCGCAAGAGAAATTTACTATCGTGTAGTACATTCTCGTAGACGGCTACTGTCGAAATTTCAACCGAATCGGACTCGTAGTTTTGTTTTGACCGCGTGTGGAAGCGGGCGTGTCCGCGGATTTTAGAAAAATGGAAAAAGAGCAATATCGGTCGGTGATTCGATTCTTGTTTTTGGAAGGGAAATCGCGCAGCGAAATCAAAGAGCGCTTGGATGCTGTATACGGTGACTCTTCTCCTTCGATGGCGACCGTCAAAAATTGGTTTACCGAGTTTCAACGTAGTCGCACGTCGGTTTTTGATGAGCCACGCCCAGGTGCCCCGAAAACGGCTACCACGGAGGATAACATGACAAAAATCCACGATCTCGTATTGGCAAACCGCCGATTGAAGGTGCGCGAGATAGCTGAGACAGTAGGCATCTCAAAAGACCGCGTGGGTCATATCCTGCATGAAATTTTGGGCATGAGACAGCTGTCGGCGCGATGGGTGCCGCGCTTGCTCACTCCGGACAACAAGCGCAACCATGAGACCACTTCAGAGCAATGTTTGACGCTGTTTAAGCGCAATCCGAAGAAGTTTCTGCGTCGTTTCGTGACCGTCGACGAAACATGGATCCACTGGTACACACCAGAGACCAAGGAACAGTCGAAACAGTGGACTTCACTCGGCGAACGTGCTCCGAAGAAGGCGAAGACTATCCTATCGGCCGGAAAGGTGATGGCCACCGTTTTCTGGGATTCACAAGGTGTGATCTACATCGACTACCTGGAGAAGGGCAAAACGGTCACAGGGCTGTACTATGCCGAATTATTGGGCCGATTCCACGCCGAATTGCAGAAAAAACGGCCCCATTTGGCGAAGAAAAAAGTCCTCTTCCACCATGACAACGCACCGGCTCACACCTCCGCCCTCGCCACGTTCAAATTGGTCGAATTGGGCTACGAACTGCTGCCCCATCCACCGTATTCTCCAGATTTGGCCCCGTGCGACTTCTTTTTGTTTCCAAACTTGAAAAAGTCACTCGCCGGGCAGAAATTTGAGTCGAATGAGGAGGTCATCGCCGCCACGGAGGCCTACTTTGCAGACCTCGAGAAAACATATTTTTCAGACGGGTTAAAGAAGTTGGAGCATCGCTGGATCAAGTGTATCGAGCTAAAAGGAGACTATGTTGAGAAATAAATCGCCACTTTTCCAAAATTTTCGTTTTTCTTTTGTAGGCTAAGTACTTATCGGACCACCCTCGTATACATATTTTCCACCTGTCTGACAATTTGTGGATGCCACGCCAAAAAAACTTGCTCTTTTGAGGCAAATCAGTCATCAAGCCATTTTCGTA